GGGAGAAGGTTGAGGAGGATAGGATGGTAGTTTGTTCGCCTCCCTGGCACTCGTCATCGCCGCCGGGTATGATGTTTCTTCGACCCCAACGGCGCTGCCACGTGACGCTTTGCATTGCGTTGCGTTGCGTTGTGTTGCGTTGCGTTGCGTTGCGTTGCGTTGCGTTGCGTTGCGTTGCATTGCATTGCATTGCATTGCATTGCATTGCATTGCATTGCATTGCATTGCATTGCATTGCATTGCATCCTGTTGCATTGCGTTGTATTGCATTGCGTGATACTTGCATTGCATCTGCAGTACATTACATTGCTGTAGATTGCGGGCGAAGGGGAAAAGGTCAGGACGGAGGGGAAGGGAGGAAGGTAGAGAGGAGGGGAGAAAGGAGGAGGAGTGAGGAGGGAGGGGAGGGGGAAGGAGGGGAGGGGAGGGGAGGGAAGGAGAAAGGGGGGGAGGATGGAGAAGTGAAACGGAAAGGGGGAGGGAGAAGGACGTGGAGGATAGGATATAATGATTGTTTGCCTCCATGGCCAGCGTCATCGCCGCCGTCAATATCATCATCATCATCATCATCATCATCAGCATCATCATCATCATCATCGTCATCATCACCAGCAGCATCATCATCATCATCATCATCATCAGCAGCAGCAGCATCATCAGCAGCATCATCATCATCATCAGCATCATCATCATCAGCAGCATCTCGTCGTCGTCGTCGTCGTCATCGTCGTCATCGTTCTCGTGGTCGTCGTGGCATGAATGTTTGTTCTGGCCCCCGCGGCGCTGCCACGTGACGACTAGAACGGAATACGACTTCTTCGCGCCTACCGGCGCTGCCACGCGGCGAGTGGCGCGGCATAACATTCGTTCCGGCCCCCATCGAAGCTGCCATGCGACAATGGATGGGGTGCTGTTTCCTCGCGCATCGAGGCGCTGCCACGTGGCAAGTGGAGTGGGTGAGAATTCGTTTCGGCCCTCTGCGGCGTTGCCACGTGACGAACACAGTGGAATAGTCCCTGTTCCGCCCCCCCCCCCACCAGGCGGTGCCACGCGGCGAATAGACTGGAGTTGCATGTTTCTCAGCCCCCGCGACGAGTAGAGTGAAATCCGCCGATCTGGCGTTCGAGTTTCAAAGAGCCCAAGCTACAGCCTACAGCCTGAGCTTCAGCTGAGCTTCATTCGTTTCGGCCTTCCGACGGCCCCAGGTCGCCCCAGAGGCCCCCAAGATGGTCATATGACGGCCCAAGAGGCTCCTAAGACAGACCCAAGAGGGTCCCAAGACGGCCCCAGAAGCCCCCAAGACGACCAAGATAGACTCCAAGACGGCCCTGAAGCGCACCCAGAGTGCTCCCAGACGGTACAGCGAGGCGTCCAAGACGGCTTCCGACGGCGTCCGACGGGCCAGGAACGTCCTAAGACAGCCCAAAGGACCCCTTCAAGAGGCCTCCTCCTACGACGGCTCCAAAGAGGGCCCCAAGATGGCCCCATAGGCCTCCAAGCGAACCGGAACACCATCGGGAGCGCCACGGATCGGCTGCAGTGGCCAGAGGCCACTACAATCGTGCCAAGGCGTTGCCACGTGGCGAGTGGAGCGGAAAGTATTTGTGTTCGGCCCCGCGGCGCTGCCACATGACGAGGCTCACGTTGCGTTGCGAAGTATTGCACAGCAGTAAACTGCAGTGCATTGCTGTGCACTGCAGTGCTTTGCTTTGCATTGTACATTGAATTACGTTGCGTTGTGTTGCATCATGTTGAGCTGCATTACATTGCATTATGTTGCATTGCATTGCGTTGCATTTGCATTGCATTGCATTGCGTTGAATTCGATTGCGTTGCATCCTGCCGCGTTGCATTGCAGTTGCAATATATTATATTGAAGTAGATTTGGGGCAAGGGGGAGAAGGAAGAGGACTGGGAGGGAGCAGAAGGGAGGACAGAAAAGAGGGGCGGAAGGAGGAAAGGTGAGGAGGAGGAAGTGGGAAGAAGGGAGGGGGAAAGAAGAAATAAACGGCCAACCACCCGGGCCACCCAACTAACCAACCAACCGACCTAACCACCAGCCAACCTAATTACCGGCCAACCTGAACCAACCGCCCAAGCAACCAACCAGCCAGCCCACCAACAAACCAATCAACACGCCCCTTCGCCACGTTAAAAAGATCCAGAAACTAGAAAGCCAACCAGCCAGACAACCAGCCAACCAACCAACCAACCAACCAACCGCCAAAGAAATCAACAACAAATCCACAAACCAACCCACCAACCGCCAGCCGCAACCAACCAACCAACCACCCTTGGACAAATTTGATCCAGAACCCGGCGAGTCAACCAGCCAACCAAACTACGAACCGACCAGTCCTTAAAAAAAGATTGTTGGAGGACATCTCACACGGCGGGTTCCAGAAAGAAATTGTTTGACCTGGAAAGCATTCATCTGACATTAAGGGAACATTGTTTTTACTCAGCAATCGGCGAACCGATCAGACAACCAACCCACCAACCAACCAACCAACCAACCAATCCTTCAATGGAAAGATGTCCCACACAGCGGGTCTCGAAAAGAATTTCTGGACCTGGGGAACATTGCTGACCTGGAAATCGAAAAATGCCCCTGACATTAAAACATAAGCCTTCTCCCAGAAGGGGCGGGTCTGGTCAGGAGGCTCGGAAGGCTCCAGACCTTCTGAAAAATTGTC